TTTTGACCCGCTTAATCAATAAATTTATTGATTAAGCGGGTCAAAACTTAGTGAACACCCTATATATATATATATATCAAGTGAAGTTGAATGTGTATGTATACATATTATGATTATCCTTCTGTATATAAAACATATCATCTCATCTTTCAATTGACGATATCTTGACTGTTCGATCTTTTTGCAATGTTTTAATCCGACGTAAACGACATGCCGCGTGATTCACATCTAACATTCTTTCAAATAAAAACAAACAAACAAAAATCGACGTTGATTGCTACTTCATGTACTCTTTCTATATTCGATTAAATAAATTGATAGATGTATGACTTGTTTTTAATGGCGAATGAAGGTTGATCCTCTTCACAGTGTGTGTGTGTGTGTACTTTTTTTTTCTTTCGTCCATTGATTTTTAGTTTTACATTTTAGAATTTTAATTCATTTTGACATACTACGTTATATCAACAATAATCGCTAAGTAGCTTTTATTAAACAGTGAACATGGCTACTAGTTATCAACAAGGTTCATGTCGATATCCTAATCTACTTGTTACAGTGAAACCAAACACAGAAGAAAGATCAGTAACTGAAATCGATACTAAACAACGAATGCATCATTCAAAAAATAATTATCATTCGACATATCTCCATCCAACAACTATTTATTATAATAGTAATCATCAATATCATCAAGCAAAACAACATTTTCCACGTTCATCATCTTCAACGATTCAACATCGTTCACAAAATAATGATCGTTTTCATTATTATCATCAACAACAGCAACAACAACCAATTCGTCCGTTAATGGAAATAAAAGATAATCAATTTTCTTTAAATGATAATACGATAACATATTCGAATTCAAAACCAAGAGAACCAAAACAACGTGGTCAATATCGTAATAGAAAAGCTGAATTAGATTGGGATCATGCATTTGATCTTGATCAACTTGATTTATATATAACACAAAATGATACTGACAATTATTCACTTACAAGTATTCATAGTTCAGGTGATAATTCATTGTCATCCGTATAATTACATCTTTTTTTTAATTTGTTGGTGCTTTTCCACTTGAACACACATATCTATAGAAACGATTCTGTTGATTGTTTTTCTTTTTTTTGTACATTTCTTTTCTATTAGAATTTTAGTGATCTTCGAATTATACGAAGAAAAAAAAATAAGGATGACGAATTAACACTTGAAAACTTTATGACACCGATACATAAAGAAAAAAGATCCTACTATCAGATAGCATTTCATTTGTATTATTGTAAAAGATAATATAAATTATTATATGTTTATAAAAAAACAAAACATTCATAGAAATTTAGTTTGTTTTTTTGAGATATGAACGTAAGAGATTAATTTGAATATATAAAAATGGTATTTATCGTTTTTTGAGTTGAATTAGGTGAGAGAATTTATTTCTATCTTACATGTTTTTCTAGTAAAAAAACTTTTTGACTCGATGCAATCTAACCCTAGCTTGAAAAGCTGGTAGCACTATTCCTAGAGGATTATAATATAAAACATGATGTAGTTGTTATGGTTAATCACAGGGATATTATTTAATTCGTTCTATTGTGGGACACAATTGTTCATCGTCCTTTTCTAGAAATCTGTTAAGGAAATCATTTATATATTATAACAAGACGTTATTGATATGCAGTCTGTGATAGTATATCAGCAACATCTGTTGCATTCTGTGACGCGGAACGAGGGAATGTTGTTAGGATCTGTCACAGTCGATGATGAGCCGTTTCTAATGTGTCCGTGACGATCTGTCGATCTCGTCTATCATAGTCCGTGGCGGGATGATATGAAATTTTACCCTGTACACGTCAACACTCCTTTTAGATAGCATATTACAACAATATATATATATTTTTTCTATATTCTTTTCATAATAGCCTGAGTTTCTAAATCGAAGTTAACGTGATTGTATAACTTCAATTGAATGGGCAAAAACGATTTGACCTACAGATTATCAATATATAATATAGACACTTGCAGTGATATTTCTTAAGTTGTCTTATCAATTATATAATATTTGCGCTTGAGATCTCATAAAGTTCACTATATGCCTCTCAATAAGAAATATTTAAAACCATCATATGATATTATTTAATAAATTATTTAGAACGACGAAAAAAACCATAAAGCGTCAATCGATCATTAGAAAAATGAGAAATTAATGTATGCCAATAGAGCGTATCGAACAATAGAATATCTAGCATGCGAAAAAATTGAATTAATTTATATTTATATGCGAGACTTGGAATTGATCCAATTTCTATCGGTCTACAATAGTTATCTCAATGTGCTAAGTTTTCTTTGACAGAACGTCTTTAGAACATCTCTAAATACTTTTATGAGAATAGAAAGTAATATTGTTGCATAATCTCATTTGAATCTTTCTTATTTATCGTGACGATTTTTAATTCTCTAATAAAGTACGATCAAAACAGTTCTCTTAAATTAATGCACTGATGTTTTGAGAGATCATACTTAAGTTAGGTTCTTGATTCAGAAAAAAAGAGCGACCTGTTCTTCTGTAAAGCATGAATAGAGAAAATTACCGATGGAAATTCTACAGTCAGCTTTCAAAAATATGAATTTTTTTCCAAGCTAGAGAAATGTCATTTATACAACTTTTGGAGAACTAACAGATAGAATTTGGTATATCTCTTTCAAGAATTCTAAAAGTCTGAAGAACACATTTTTATCCTCAGATTGTACTTGAAATTCAATAACAAATTTATATATGATGCGATTCGAAGATTATTTTCAGACATAATTAACAGAGAGAAAAAAAGATAGAAAATCAAGACAGACACGAACAACTATAAAAAAATTAATATGAAAATTGTCAGGGACGGACAAAAATAGGTTTTGATTCAGTGATATAATTAGTTTTTTTTGCAAATAATTCATTAGCAAAATAAAAAAAACGATCATCAACGTTAATTATGTCAATTTGTCACACTTTTTCGTTTGTCCTTATTCGATTCGAAACAAAAATCAATATTTTAGAGATTCAATGACTTGGTCATCTCAAGACAAATGCGTGACAACAAAAGGAAATTTTCGAGCTATACAAGAAGGTGCAGAAGTACACTTTCACCTCTCTCTCTTCATAGAGAAGGAGTAATTTAGAAAACTCCGGTGTTAGCCGAGAAGGAAACAATAGACGTCAAGTCTGACGTGCTTACTATTTTTTCTACAATGATAGTAGAATGCTATTATGTTTTAATCGCTTATCATCGATTAAAAATAGTATGCGGACCATTTTTGTATATCGATTTTGAATTGCTATTACTTATCGACCTTATCTGATTTGAACTCATTGAATTATAATTTACGAAACGAACTCATTGAAACTATGAATCAAGATCATATTATAATATAGTCTCCATGAATAAACCAATTCATATAGATTGACTTGAAGGTTGAAAAAAGGCAATTATTTTACAATTAATGCTTGATTTCACTGTTCAATTATAATTTATATAAAAAAGTATTGAGTAGATTCTACACCTTAGATAAAATACATTATTTTATGAAAAATTTTAAGAGTCATCTTATGATTAAAAAGCTTCCTATCAAATGAATAATGAAAGAGAATTTTTTAAAAGTACCAGAAGTAAAATTATTTCATGGTTTAACTGCTGTATTCTTGTTGTTGTATATTAATTACTATCAGTCATGTTATTTTCTATATTGAAAAACTGTTTCAACAAAAGCGTTAGGCTCAGAAGACATTCTTTAATAACATTTCGAAAACATTTTTTAATAAGGATTGACATAAAATTATGCAAATATAAGTCATTAGTTTGATGGTTTCAAAAAAATAACTAATTTATTTTTATTAGTTTAGACGAAAGAACAAATAGACTTTTAGTCAAAATAATATATGTCAATCATTTATTTATACTTCATCCTAAATAGAAAAATTACCGATGTAAACTTTATATTAGATCTCTATTATAAAATATCAATATGTTTTATTCCATTACTTTTAAACATTACATATAACATTTGATATTTTACTCTAAAAGCAATCGACATTTGAAATATTCTTCAAGTTGTTTCTCTATATTTTAATTTTCTGTCCTATTTAATAGAAATGTTTTGAACACTTCACACATTCATCAGAATATATTATAAATTTCTTCATATATAATACTTATGCGTCTATCTTGTCAACATCAATTGTAAGGTAAGTATAGAAATATTAATTAACACAGTCATTATGAAAAAAAAAAAGAAAAGATTAAAATAGAAACGACATGTCAAAAAAATCTTTGTATCTATTATTTATGTTTGATCGTAAGTCAAAGACATCGTTTGAACTAATATGGAATTAAAATTTTTTTACAATTATTCGTTTTGACATATCGCAGAAATTTTTATGAAAAAATAATAAATAAAGTTTACTTATTGATACTAGAATAGTTTATATCTTTGACCTATTTTATAGTATATTGTTACTTAAATCAATCTAGTCTTTTGTAGAAATCGACATAAACGTTAAGTCGTACGAAAGAGAAAAAAAAAAGTAATTAGTTGTTCAATTCGCTACACACCATTACGCATGTGACAATTCTCTTGAGTCTCGTAAATGCATGTGAAACAAAAATAAAACTTAATATTGTATAGTTCTTCTCGTAGAACAAGACCGATAAAAACAAAAACATAAATAGACAGAGCATTATTTAGTAAGCACTATTTTCATAGATTTATATTTGTTCTTTTTTTCCCCTCGGTCAATTATTGAATGTAACCGCAACAATTTTTTTCCAATGATCAAGACAAAAGAGATGAAAATCTTGAGATATAAAGAAATATAAGCGAAGTTCCTTATTGCAAATAAAGGTAATATCTTGGAATTTTAATGTAAGTAGACTATAAATATATGTATAATGTTGCTGTTAAACATATCAATATATAATTTGAAAAAAAAAATATTGATTAAAAACAAAAGAAAAATAATATGTTTACTCTATAATTTGTATAATCAATGACTACATACACACACACACACATTTTGTTGGTTCACTTCTTTCAATAAAAAATGTCAGTATGCATCTTTCATCCTATTCTTCTTCTTTCTTCTATCCTTTTACACATTCATGAAAGAATAAGAAGAATTACAGACAGAATATAAACGAAAAAAAAAAAAAAAATCAGACAGAATTTACACGTGTTAATAAATTTCATCATGTAAGTTAAAGTATAATCTTCCGAGTGATATGTTTACTAAGAACAATTTTATTAAGTCATATTCTTTTAGATAATTTATGCAAACGTGATCATAAATGTCTTGCGTAAGCATCTATGCATATCTATTACTTAATAGAACTTTTAAAGATTATTTTATAGAATAAAAAAATACGAAAATTAAATTCAAATCAAATACTAGGTGATTATTTATCAATTTTATTTTCTTATAAATTATTTTTCTTTATATTCAGAACTTCGACAAGCATTTGATTTATTTGATACTGATAGTAGTGGAAGTATATCAGTAACTGAATTGAAACAAGTTCTTCATGCATTGGGTGTTAGTTTATCTGAACAAGAAATTCGACAAATGTTTTCAGCAATAGATGTTGATAGTAAATAGATTTTTTATTTTGTAAAAATTAATTTTGTTTTCTTTTTTTTTTGTTTTTGTAGAAAATGGTTTGTTCTTCGACGAAATAAATGATTATTCTATTAAGTTTTATATATAGGTCGTATTGAATTTGATGAATTTGCTGAAATAGTAGCAGATACTTATTTTAAAAAATTTTCTCGTGCTGAAATTCTTGAAGCATTTAGAAGATTTGATCATAATCATGATGGGTTTATTGAAGCTGATGAATTAAAAATAATCTTAGATCAACTTGGAAGACATTTTTCGAATGAAGAAGTTTGTTGTTTGCTAATTTTTTTTTAAATTATTTCCTTGAATATTTTATAATAAATATAAATATTTATTTAGATTCGTCGTATGATCGCTCAAGTTGACCGAGATGGAAATGGAAAAATATCCATTGAAGGTATATAATAAATAGAATTTTTCATGTCCACATTCACAAAATTTTTTTTTTCTTCATAGAATTTGCGGCACTTGTTGAAAGAGAATCTTGATACAATCAAATAATTGCATTTCGTTGTTTTCTTGCAATTGTTTATTCATGAAATAAAATTAATTATTTCTTTGAAAAAAAAAAGAAGAAAATATTTAATTTGTTCATTTTTTTCTATTTGTTCTTTCTTATGTTGTGCATGTCATTGTATTGATTCATTATATTTGGCTTATTACCAATTCACTTTTTCTTTCCTCATTTTTGTTCTTCCTTTTTTTTTTGTTCTCATATAAAAAAATAAATATAAGAATACAGAACATAAGTAACAAAATCCTTTTGCACAAGATTGACGGTATGCATTAATACTACTCTCATGTAATGAAGAAAAAGAAAAAAAGAAGGAAAAAAATGACATATGAATAGAAATTTCTCGGTTTTTCTTCCTTTTTTTTAAAACGAGTCAAGTCATGATGTTAAAGAAATAGTATATATTACTTATTGTCTTGTCTAATTTTCCGTCAGCGAAACGCAATCGTTCTCAAATTCCACTATTGGTTGTTTTAGTAGATTCAGAAAAAAATATTTAACTTTCTTTTTTTTTTCTCTTTCTTTCTCTCTCATTCTAGACATTTAGTCATCATTTGCGTTTCGTTTTTTTTTCTTTGCCTTTCTCTTTCTTATATTTGCATTAACCACGATGACAACGAATAACAACAAAAAATAATAATCGAACGAGTGGGTGAATCTTCGATGTGACCTTATTTGACGAAGGTGAACGACTACATAATAAACAACAAGAAAATGAAATTTCAAAGGCGTATTCTCCCTCCTCATTCACCAACCTATCTCGAAATGGAAGAGTATATATCTCCATCAATATCTCAACAATCAAGTATGATTTGAAAAAAACGAATTTTTTTTCTTTTTTAACTTTTTCTTTTAGTTTCAATAACTGGTTCAACTAGTGATATAAGTGAAATTGGTAGTGTTTGTAGTTTATCAACAAATATTCGACAAAAATCTGATTCATTAACAAATCTTTTTAATATGTCCGAAGATAATTCATCAGTATCAAATTTAAGTATTGCGTCATATTCTTTATCTCAAAATTCATATGATAATGGTTCGCCAACAACATTTACAACATTATCATCTCAACAAACATTTATAAATAATGGTTCTGAAAAAAATCGTTCACGTCGTAGTGCTTGTTCATCAACAAGTAGTCAAAAAAGTTTTCCGATTAAAACTGCTGAAACTGTATTAAATACTATTGGTATGCATACATCATCATCCGATAAATGTGGTTTAATTGCTAATGATGGAAATAATATTGAAAATATTAATGATAATCATAATCAATATGATGAAGAAGAAAATTTTTGTGATAGTTCAGATGAAAATGAAATTGATATGATGACATCACAAAATAATCGGGGTTTAAAAAAAACTGTTTTTAGTAACGTTGATCGTTTATTAAATTCGGCAAATAAACAAATCAAACTTTAAGAATTATTATTTGTTTTGAACAATTAACTGTGATTATTTACAGAAAAACAACAACAACAACAACAACAATTACACTAACAAGACTTGTCTTTTTTTGTTTGTTATTTTTGCACTATTAATGAGTTTCCTTGAACAAAAAGTCATTAAATGCTTATAGATAAATTCTTTTCTATTATTCAATGACTAAGATAAAAACAAATGATTTATAACTTTTGATAGTGAATTCTTTATGATTTAAATGAATTGGTAGTTACTCAAGCCAAGGTCATCATGATTGACGTCTATTGAAATCAAAATCTAATCAAAATCAAGTATGTATAGCTTTAATTTCAGTCCATTTGTTACTAAATAAAACATCGAATAGAATGAATGATCTTTCTTAATTATGTTTTCAACTAAAGTAAAAGAACAAAAGTTATAATGAACTTTGTATGCTGAGATGACTGAATTTAATGATTTGTTGAATTTATATTTTTCATAATCTTCTGATTGATGAACACGATTTTGTCATATTCTCTAATTAACAATCAATGATTTCTTTTTTTGTTTATTAATTAAAATTTTTAGAATCTTCAAACAACACACAACTATCTATGGTTTGAGAAAAATTCCAACGTCATATTCTTTCTATCGCAGATTTTTGTTTTTGGAATAAATCCTAATAGAGCTATAATGATTTATTATAGACTTATTGAATATTATAAAAATAAAATATCTTCGACTTAAGGTCTCAGACATAAGACTTATTGAATAATTTAATTATAAAGAATATTATTTTATATGAAAAACACAAGATTTTGTTCATTAAAAATAATTATACGATATTACAACAAAGTTTACATAAAAAAAAAGAAATAAACTAATGTCAAATTATTTTAACTACCAGCTCTTTATACGATAAAAATAAAATATCTTCGACTTAAGGTCTCAGACATAATCATGCTAGTTTTTATCCGCTTAATAATCTAAAGACTGATTGTTCAATTAGAATAAAATCTTTTTTTTGTCTTCTATTATGTACCACCCATGATCCTTGTTGACCTTGTCCTAGCAATTATTCATATTGTTATGATTGTTAGAAAATTGATTGAACTAATGGTTGATATTCAATCGGTACTTGAACACTGCATGATAGAGTTCAAATTCGATCATACATTAAAGTAGTGAGTATTGTTGACCTTAACCTATAAATGTGTACTAAATGAAACATTAGTGTAATAGATAAAAGAATGCTAACAATGGTGAATTTTTTGATCGATTAATAGAACATGAAAAATATTTTTTATTTTGGATGAGACACAAATTTTATTCAGATCATTCAGTTATGATTTTAATGAATAAACTTTCATAATCACAAGTGATACAATCTTTGTTAATCAAGGAAAAAACGAATGTTATGTATTAACATCTTGACTTGAACTTAAATGAACTAGATAGGCAAACGATTATTATCATTAGTTATTTTTCTTTTCACAGCAACGGTTTATTATTTATCTTGTTAAGAATCCACATCATAAACAAATTCGTCTTAAAACATATGGACAGTACAAAGAGCAATATCCAAATGAAATGATGCGTGTTTGCTCTCATATTTCTGTTTCATTCAACAAATACAAGCATCTATTTCACAAGTTTTATCATCCAGCATCTGCTATAGATAAACATTAGCATAATGAGCTACCATTTACAATACATTCAGCAGTGTTTTAAATACTTGAATTGATATATTTCTATATAAAATATATTTTCAAAATAATACAAAATAAATTCTATAAATTCCATCTTACCAACTGCTGTTAACTTTTTATGTACTTGAAATTTCCATTGATCAAAATTAGATAGCTTATATCCTAATTATGCATAATAAAACTAAAGAAAAAAAAATGTTTATTTATGTATATACAGTTGAGATTTGTTTATTAAGTTACTATAACCTTGATGTCTTATAAAATATGCAGCGAAAACTTAAGAAATCCAAAACACATTTATATATTCGAAATGAAAACTTATTAAAGACGAAATTTAGATTTTTGAAATTTTTTATGAATAATCAAAAAATTAAGTTCGATAAATAGAGCAAGGAAACCAATAAAATCTATCCAAGAAATATATTTCAACAAAGCAAGAACAGAATGAAACATAATTGATTCAAGACGAAGTTGTTATAATACGGATTTAACAAAATTAATCTTATTGCTAAGTTCTATTTTTAAGAGTTAAATAGTGTAGGAATTATAAAATTAGACAGTTCGGTCTAGGTCGATTCGCATATGCACTGGAAGTTAAATAACATGGATATAAATAGAGAATGATATCATATTATATTATCTATCTTCGTCTCTTTTTTTGGGATATATTATATAAATATTTATGACGCATATACAATTATTCTTCTTCTATTAGCATATGATAATAATAGAATACCATGTGACCTATAGTGTCACTCGAGAAATACTTTGACGTTGTTTTTAGATGACAAGAAGACAAAAACTATAGTAGATTTGAATATTTAATCAAGATTTTTTTTTCAATAATTTCTTGTTGGCTCATTGTAAATAGCTGATAACAGCAAAAATTTTTCTTCCATTTAATCAGCTCTAGTCTTTCCTAAGAAATTATTTAGACAATTTGGTTTTTAATTTTACTTTCAATATTGAGCTTCAATTTGCAGCTTTAAAGAATTACATTCAAATAAGCTGTGACAAACAACTCAAATAGAATTAAAATATATTATGATTATGTCATACGATCGAATCAAGGCCAAAGATGACAAGTACCAAAAAAAAAGAACGTGTCGTTGTGAAATATCTAATCATATTACCCTTGAATTTCTCTCATCGTATATTTATCAATAATAATACAACGAATAAGAATATCATAAGAAAATTTGTCTTATTTCATAAAAGATATATGCGATTCTGCTATTAACTCATCAGATCGAATGAGAATTCTTTTCTATTTAATTATAAATTACTTTTGGTTTTGTTGGGATATGCGAAGCTCAAAAATTCAATAAAACTTACTCGTTTCTTAATGAGTATCTAACATTTCCCGCTAGTAAGATTCATTGTTAATAATCACGATGGCCTTAATCTTATGCTGAAAATAGTCATCCTCATTACACGACAAATATCACATTAATTGTCTTTATGTAAACTAATTATATAACGTATAATATATTTGATTAAGAAATGAATGTCATGTCATTCTGTTTCACAAAACAAAAGAACGTTCATTAATTGATAAAAGTAAAGAATTCATTTATTTTAACAAAGATTATTGATAAAAATATGTAAAACATGCACACATATTTATCTTTCTGCTTTGTAAAAATTCAATATTAATAAAACTAAAATACTAATGTCAAATATGACAAAAAAAAAGCTATTAAACCTGAGTTTCAACTGTTTAGATTCTGATATCATTGCTTCTGCTTTAGTTATATACACTAGCATTGGGAAGAAAATTTTTCACTCAAAACAAAATATCCATATAATCACACAAATAAATATTAAAAAAAAAGAATCCCTGATGACAAGATAATATATATTT